ATAGTCCCTATTAGTAAACTAAACTTTGAGAATTTTGAACTTACTAAATTGATAAACTAGGAAATTAATTGGTTTTATATAACTAATAAGCCTCAAACTCTGGGGGAAGATAAGCACATTTCCAGGAGCTGTGAATGCGCTAAGGAAAAAATTTGACCAGGTGTCTGAGGAGAGACCCTAAAGTCAACAAGAGAGTGCTGCAAAGGAAAGGGTAATTAGTGAAAGGACTGCGATTCCTAACAGGTGCAGCATTGGTGAGTGTGCTCAGAGCTCAACATACTGTAGGGCTGGTAGCCATTTTAACCTGTTTCTTCCCTGAAGTTTTCAACACAACCTCTCAATAGAAGTCAGTGCAAAAAATAGGTTTTGTGTCATAGAAATCATTCTTTTATCATCTTTCCTGAGAGAGTTATTCTGAAAGCCATTATTAAAACTTGGAAATTTTTTTTTGAGAGGAAAATATCGACTTGTCTTTTTTTTTGTTTGTTTTTTTGTTTTCAAAATGGCGCAGAAACAACCGGTACTATTTATTTGGCTGTCTGTGTCGTGGTGGGTACAAACTATGTTCTCTGCTCTGTGGGACGACTTGTCTTTTAAATGATAACTTTGTTTAGATTTCTCTTCTTTTTGGTAGAAACTTAAATTTTCTTTTCAGAGTTCATGTTCTTACCATGGCTTGTGTATAAAAACTACATTAAAAGTTAATATGATTACATTAATATTTGACCTGTCATGGAACATGGGTCAGTTTGTCCTGTGTTGTTATTAGTTCGCGTAAAAATCATAATACAAGGCAGCATTTAGCGCCTGTGAAGACAGTGACCAGTGCTTTCCCTGTAAATGTTTCCCCTTACTAGTTTTTGTATTTCAGGCTGAAAGAATATTCTCAGAGGTTAGGAGGATTGAGAATTACAGAGTTGAAGGCATGGAGATCTACTCTACAACACTTTGGCATCTTCAGAAAGATGTTGCTCTTTCGGTTCTGTCAAAAGACTTAACAGACATGGATAAAAATTCTCCAGAGGTACGTTAACCCAGACACTTTGCTTACGTAGTTACCTTTTGATCACCCTTAACAAATGGAGATGAATCAAATAGTTCACATACTATTTAGCATCACCCACATTTATTTCTCTTCTTTCTCTCTATCTAAGCAGAGACTCAGAGAGAACAGAAAGTCCTAGAATATATGGTGTAGATTCATAATTAGAAAAATCACAAAGCAGACATTTCATTTAGGATTAATCAAGATTTGACTGCATTAAAGTTGCTGTTGTCACAAAGATTAGAGTTCACTGAGCAGAAGTTATGTAGATTGAAGAAATTGCTAACTTTAAATTAAAATAGTACTGTCATTTTTAAGACATAGGCACAATTAATTTACGTGCTCTAATCTTGTAAAAATTGTATTTCAGTGCATCTCAAAAATATTTAGTGATACTTTTGTAAGCTATTTAAGATACTATTTAAGCTTAGAATTAAATACAGTCAATTCCCATTATTCACGGTAATTTATAGTCACTGTGGTCACTTTGACCTCACATGAGAAATGCCTGTTGGACAACTCAAAGGTTGAGTCCACCAGTGACTGTGAAAGTGCTGCAAGTATCAATTTTCGAGTTTACAAATAAATTTTAGCAAGCAGGCATTTCCACAAATACAGAATCCTGGCTGGGCGCAGGGCTCACACCTGTAATCCTAGCCCTCTGGGAGGCCAAGGCAGCAGGATTGCTTGAGCTCAGGAGTTCAAGACCAGCCTAAGCAAAGGCGGGACCCCATCTCTACTAAAAATAGAAAAATTAGCCTGGCGTCATGGCCCGAAACTGTAGTCCCAGCTACTCAGGAGACTGAGGCAGGAGGATCACTTGAGCCGAGGAGTTTGAGGTTGCAGTGAGCTGTAATGACACCACTGCACTCCACACAGGGCAACAGAGCAAGAGTCTGTCTCAAAACAAAACGAAACAAAACAAAAAAAATGGAATCCGTGAATAATTAGGATCAACTGTTCATCTACTAAAACTCTCTAGTTTTTGTCTTTCTGTTCTAAGTGGGCTCTAAGGCTTGATTTTGTTTTGTTAGAAAAAATAAAATTTTAATTGTGTATTTGTTTTTGTTCCAATTTAAGGCTTGGTGTGCTGCAGGGAACTGTTTCAGTCTGCAACGGGAACATGATATTGCAATTAAATTCTTCCAGAGGGCTATCCAGGTTGATCCAAATTATGCTTATGCCTATACTCTATTAGGGCATGAGTTTGTGCTAACTGAAGAATTAGACAAAGCATTAGCTTGTTTTCGAAATGCTATCAGAGTCAATCCTAGGCATTATAATGCATGGTAAGTGCTAATGAAATGCAAAAACAAAGTCTCATTGATGGAGCTAGTGCTCAGTAATTTTTCTTGTTATGGTGCTAGTGCTCAGTAATTTTTCTTGTTAGATATCTCTTTATTGTCATGAATTTGGATACTAATACTTACGGACGGTATAATACTTATCAGTCAAAAACTTTCAACCAAGCCAGGCGCAGTGGCTCATGTCTGTAATCCTAGCACTCTGGGAGGCCGAGGCGGGAGGATTGTTTGAGCTCAGGAGTTCAAGACCCTG